GGTAAAAGATAGCAGTAGTAATAGTAGGGTTACGAGGAGGAGCTGTAAAAGAATAAAAGGAATTGAAACGTATTCACATTCTAATCTATCCATCCATCCATCCATCTATCCTTACTACAGGGATTGTATAATAATAATAATAATCTAAATCGTGGAATCTCAGAATTCAATCTAGTATTTTTTTGTATGTAATCTTTCTCTTTTTCGAAAAAAATGGTCTTCTCTTCTTTTGTTCATGTTCTGTTCACATGCATTCGTCTGCGGTGTATGCGTGTGTGTGTGTGTGCGTGCACCTAGTTGCAGCAGTCGTGTTTCATATTGATTTTATCTACTTCGGTTATAGACTGCTTTTTACATGTAGTGAGTGAGTGAGTTAGTTAGTTGGTTATTTGGTGAGTTGGGGCGCGTCTTTTTTGCTATCTCTCATACAGGCTGTTATTAGGTGAGGAAATATGTATGTATATATATACACGCACGCATGCATGCTTCAATCAACGTGTTTTATGGGGCTTATGATAAAACTAATACATGACCGTGGATATATATATATATATGCAAAGCCAGTGAGAGAGAGAGAGAGAGAGCGAGAAAGAGAGGCTTTGTATGCTCAAAGATAGACATGTTTCAACGTGTTATGTTGCCTCTTAAACAAGAAAACATGTCATCAGAGATTTATTCATCATCATTCTATACAATATACAAATATGTACATATGCGCGCGTATTATATCCTTTTTTTGCTGCTGTCTTCTCTGTTTGAAGCATAAAAAATCACCTCGGGTATTAACAGTGGTGGTGTTGGTTGCGGCGATAGTGTGTGTGTGTGTGTGGTTGAAAGAGAGTAGATATATTCTCACTATTTACCCTCCTTCTTCTGCTATTCTGTCATATTTGGTTATGGGACACAGTTTGATTACCTTACTGTGACTGACCGACTGGCTTAGCTATTGCTGTTGTTGTTGTTGGCCTTGGTTGTTTTGAATGCACTATACATATATATGTATTCTTATTTGTTATGACAACTGTAATTTTCTAAATTCCCTTTCAAACTTTAAACCGTTGATTGATTAATTGGACCGACGTGCTTGACTTTCAGGTTGACATTTTGTCTCCTCCTTGTGTGCAGATCCCTTGACAATGTCTGAATAATTCAGCTTGAAGTAAATTGGTGGATGGGTGTGACTGACTGACTGACTGACTAGCAGTGAAAAACACCACCAGGATACGCATCTAACACAAGGAGACGATATGTTGTCAACTTGAATTTGAACACTTTTTGGTCCAATCACAGTCAACGGGAAAGTCCTTTACTGATAATACGTGTGTTTCACAAGAAAGAGTTGGCTCGAATTGGTCTAGTGAATGATGCTTTGACGTTTGAAATGGGGCTCAGTGGGGGAGAAAACCATTATTCACTGGGGAAAGCAGAAATACCCAGGCAACATGAAGTGCACATCCTGGTAGGTAGCTGTCATCCACCAATTTACTTCAGGACATAGTTAAACTTGTTGGTCGTCAGGAGTGCATTTCTATGCTTTGTATCTTCTAGAATATCCAGGTTTATGTAATGACTGAATTCAGTAGTTGAACTGTCGATGCGTATAAACATTGGAGTGCTTCTCAGCTGCCACATACACATGTTCTCGCTACTTGCCGGTTCATCACCACATATGTCATAGTCGCTGACTACACAGGATAATTGAGGTTACTTCTAGACTGTTAAGTAAAGAGGTGAAGTCAATTAATGAGGAGGTTGTGAGGTGACATAGATAGTAATGGCTGGGACACACATACCACGCGAGCATTCCTTGTCGAGCAATGGTATGATTGGGTGGGAGTGAAGTACTCAAACCAAAATAACGTACCATCAGTTTGATGGTAGGTCTGGACTGTTTGACTAGAGTCATCGTCTAAACTTTAAGAATCTATGGCTGAATAGGAGAGACTGTTGATGGTGTTATGGTTCAAGGGGATTCACTCTTGGAGTTGGGGCAATTTCTCTGTTCTCCATGTGATTATTCCTTTTCTTATGTACTTTTGTCCCTTCTCAGCCCATTATATGTGCATGTGTGTTTTTGGAGTGTGGCAAGTTGAACTGTGTTACATCTTTGTGCAAAGTTCTACACGTTGAAAATTCATTTGAGTGACTGCAGTTCACCCAATTTGCCCAAAGTTTAGAGCAGTTGGAGCACATGTGCAATTATTGATTGTAATCCGAGTATCTTAACAGTAAATTTGCAGTCCCACGATGAGGCCAGCCTGTTGAATGACTGACAGTGATTCTATTAGGGTGCCTAAACCTTGGTAGGTGGGAGTTCAGCACATAGACCAATAAACTACTGCTCCCTAAAGCGTTCATCAGCGTTTATTGGCTTAACCACTTAACTTTCAGCCAATGGGTGTGTGCGCTTCGAATCTCTTTACACTTACTTCACTCTTCACAGATTAACTTGGACTCATAACTTAGTATCCGGTAACCGAGTTCTATTTAACTCTGGTTATTGAGTGATAAGTGAGGCAGTTTCTACTTTGTTGTCATTTCCGTGTCTGAAATTGAATGTTAAATTTTTCAAAATATTTATATAATCTATTTTAAGAGTTAGTTTGTGGGGATTTCAAGTCCACGCACTGCCCAGGAGACTGGACGGTTTGAACCCGCTAGGTAGGATCTGGTTACAAGTCAAACTCGTAAACCATTCAGCCACAAGGGACGTATGTACTTCTCATCAGTTCGCTCCGTCTTTCTCTTTGACTCTGAAACATGGCCAATACGAATTGAAGACATGAAAAAGTTGGCTGTTTTTGATCATAGATGTCTGCGATCTCTTTCTCACGTTAGGTGGTTTAATAAGGTAAGCAATGTTGACGTCAGGCGTAGAGTGTGGGGCAAAAAGCGAAAATCAATCGACAAGGCTATAAAGTTACATAAATTGAGACGGCTAGGTGACGTGCTGCGCATGCCCGACGGGCATTACTAGCTGCGATATAGGTGCATGTTGGAAAAGAGTAAGTGGTGGCAAACAAAAACATGACACCAATCCATGAAATCCTTGACAGTTAAACTGAGTCAGGTAAGGAGATGCAAACTTCCGGGTTGGGGCCCTCGGGACTCTAAGAATCAATGGCTGGGAGACAATAGGTGACACATGGTTCAATAATAGTTGTCAATGGCCAGCGCACATGTATTCAGTTTCTGTAATCTTTCATATTCCTTTTGTTACCATTACCCATTCTGTTTCACTCTTATACTTGTCAAACTCTATTGATTCTCTTCACTCATCTTCTTGTCTACCTCTGTGTGCTATTTGGAACGTGGCAACACTCGAACTGCTGCACTTCGGTGACAAGTTCTATGTAGAATCCAGACAGACAGATTCAGACACAAGTACATGACTCAGTGATCAGCCAATTATTTCTACCTTTTGACAATTCATGATTCTATCGCTTCTGGCACCATCCACTGTAATCAACGACACGTGTTTGTCGTCACACTTGACCTGGAAGATCCTACTGAACCTGACTTCTCAGTAGAGGGCTCTTTCAGACAGCTTCGTTCTGAAGTTAGTCATTAGTGTGTGTATCAGAATAATTTTTCCGACCATCCTTGGGTACCTTCTATCAGACAGGTGGTCTATGAGCTTGTCTTGTAACAGTAAGGTGTTTGGTATGAACAATGGCAGTGGATACGTGCTGCCGACGAATTCCAAAAGAGGAAGAACGAAAGAGAACTAGCTAGTAAGTACTGCAGCACTGATTTTATCAGTCGTTTTCTAATTGCAATCTATCTGTGGTCCAAAGCTGAAATATCGTATTTTAGTTTATGTAGTACAATGGGAATCAGTGTTTCTTTTTGCGTACATAAACTAGAAAAATGTCGTCTACTTAATCGTTTTAAATAAAGTAGATTAAGGTCATATGTCAAGTAAAGTGACCTTAATTAAGTGTAGTGTTCAATTATCAATTTTGGTGCAGTGTTCTCGGATTTTGTGTAAATTAGTTGTTCATGTTACCTGTTCATACATGTTACATGATGAATGATAATACATACTCTGAACAGCTGTTACAGAACAGAAGTTACTAGATTTAAAAGTTTTGTTCATTTCCTCTTATATGGTTTCACCCTAAGAGGGTAAACATTTTAATGTTAAAGCCTTTCGTCTACCTCTTGTTTTGAAATCTGTTTGTGACAAATCAGGAGAATGATCAATACTTCATACTGCCTACTTTTTTTTAAGGATGGTATAGGTCAATTAAAGCCACCTCTGACGTCGTCGCGACATTAGTCTGACCGTCAAAAGTCGAGTTTACAATACGTCGGTGTGTGCTGTCTAGCTATACGTGCTGAGGATGTGCGGCGACTCTGCGTAATCGATCATCTCTGTCTCTCTAGAATTGCTTGCATTCGATAACATCATCGTGTGATTAGTTCGGAGGTCTGGGGGACGTGTTTCGATACAATGGAGATCACCGCTCGTTGAGTGTCGTTGTGATCTGGGAACACCGGCTCCGGTATCTTGGGCATGTGTTAAGAATGTTACCCCCCGAGGCTTCCCTACTGCTTTCTGTTTGCTAGCCGATATGGACGATATGGAAAAAAACAAAGAGGTGGTCAGCCCGTATCGTGGCATCGTGGGCTGGTGTATGTTTGTGTTAGGTTAGCATCGGTTGGTACGTTACGACTCCCGCTTAGAAGTTCGAGAGACAACAGGAATTGTTGACTCAAAATGCTATCAAGTATTACAAAGACTCGCAGATGAATGCTGTTTGGTCTTGTTATATATAACTCCTTTCTTCTTAAATGAAGTCTTTTATTCATTGTATACCTATTTTTTTCATATGTTGCTTTATTATTATTATTATTGTAGTGCCATATTGTGTCATAGTCCATAGTCCTGGGTCTCTTCTGAGTTTGTTTCTATTTCTGTCCATCTGCATACGACATTGCATGACATTAAAAAAAAATCATAATCCAACGCTTCACTTTTGTTTTCCAACTTTCAGATGATCGTAAACTATTTGTTGGTATGTTGGGAAAACACCAAACAGAAGAGGATGTACAGAATCTATTTGCACCATACGGGCAAATTGAAGAGTGTACTATCCTACGAGATCAGAATGGAATGAGTAAAGGTAGGCATCTTTTATATGTTGAAGAATTTTCCAATTTTTCTTTGCCATTCATTCTGTTCTGTAAAATATAACATATATCACACAGTTTGACGCTGCTGTGCAAAATTCACAGCACATCAGTTCTTCATATTCATATTATGCCTTGTGATTGCTGTCATCATTCACACCAGAAGTAAAACAAGTAAGAGAATAATTTGAATTCCATCCACTATTCGGTTCCATTCGACTCACTAGTCTTCTCCAACATATGTCGAATGTGTATATCCGCCATATTTCCTCGTGCGTATTTGTTAGGTGATAGGTTCTTGTTCTGTTGGTTGTGCGAGAGTTCCATATCGCTTATCCTTTCTGGTTAACCGTGTGAGTTTTTAGTGCGGAGCGAAGACAGAGAAGTGCTAGAGAGAGAGGGAGAGTCGCTTTGCGTTTTGTGCGCCCAGGTCTTGCCGATGAACCCCATAGACATACTCACACTGGTAAACTTGATCATGAATGTTGAAAATTTGAATCTTTTTACGCGCATGGTGAATGGTGTGCAGTTGATTTCTGAAGTAGATTTCAGATTAGTTGAAGTTTTGTCTTCCTTTTCTGATCCTAGCTGATATTTGAAATCTCCGAATATAACAGAAAGAGGGAAGGTGTGTGGTGGTGTGTTGTGGCGCCTAGCCATCCTAACCTGGTCGTTACCGGTAGAGTTGTCTGTAGAATATATTGTTTTCTCATTGACTTGTCATAGTCTCACACAAATCAATTGATATTTATTTATCTCTACAAGACAAGATTGTGTGTATGTGTGTGTGCGTGTTTGTGTGCGCATAGAGATTGATTCGCCTTGTTGTTTTATCAATTTTCTAGGCTGTGCTTTTGTTAAATTCTCAACGAATACAGAAGCGATAAACGCTATCGATCATTTGCATAACAGTCAAACTATGCAAGTAAGTTTTTTCTTGTCTTTTCTTCTTGATATTCATCGCGTTATCCGTCTGTCTAAAATACTTTTGCACAGTTTAATTTGCTTTGAAATGTTTTTGGTTATAATTTAGGTATTGAATTCCTTCGGGACTTCTTTGATTTCTCTTCATAACCGTGTTCTTTTCACTAACTTGCTTTCTCACTTCAAGTGGATAAATTAGCCAGCTGTAAGAGGTATTCGTCGTATTACTTTTGCTGTATCCATGACAATGAGCGGATTACCTACTAACGAGACCTCATCACGGATGCCCAAAAGGCTCATGTGTCATTGGCTAACTCATATGGCACTATTGATCAAAAGATGTGTATACTGTACAGCAACGTGGAATCTGTGCATGAAATCTTTTTTACCAGTCTTATAGGGACAGGTGTATACCGCCAGAGTGGTTTGCGTCCTTGGCTTATTCTATAATTCATTGACGACAGACTGTTGTGAGGATATTGTTAAAAAGTCGTCCTCAATGGTGCAGTTGTATTCACATTTTGTAATCTCTCTCTCTTTCTCATACTTACCTTTCTCCCCTTTTACATTTCTTTTAAATCTATTTTTCTGTGTGTAGCACCTTGAACTGGTGCATATCTGTGAAGACTTCTAATGACTCAGTCAGTCAATACTAGGACCTCAAGGACACTGATATAGGATAGACTGAAAGGAGCTGGGGTGGTTATTCTTAGTTCAATGCAGCTTCCTGGCTGACTTCATTTCTTGATTAAGTGTGATACATTGAATCATGCCTCTAAACTTCATAGAGTTAAACAATTTTTTTAAGCTTTGTAATTTTGAATATTTCTTCTAAACCCAGCATTACTTTTAATATCATCTATCCCCTTGGTTTCCGAATTGAGGACAGGGCTTCCGGGGCACATCTTTCTTGTTTTACTCTGTTCACTGTTTTGTCTCTTCACGGTTGCCCGTATTTCTTCCTCCTCATCTTCCTAATGTCGTGATCCCCTTTATGTCAGCCTCGCGCAGTAGACTTGTCGGAAGTGTGTATGAGCCTGGTTGGCAAAGTGCTTTTGGTGACATACGAGACCCTTTCTGATGAGTCTCTCAACTATATAGAAGCACATCTTGCAGTATAATTTCCGATTGATTGGTGATAAAATATCCCAATTCACTTTTTTTATGTCGATATCTAAAGATAATCAGATTTTCTTAAAGACTTTCGTGTTTTGTTAGTCTGGGCGTGATTCATTATTGGCTTAAGCATATGACCTTCAGCTTGCGAGTTACGTCACCGCTCTTCACACACACACACACACACACTAAGTGTCGTTCACAGTCTGATAAATGCTCCAGCTAAGTTCAAACTAAGTTCTTCTGAATCGATATCTAGATGTCTGTAAGGTGTTAGGATGCATCGCTCCGTCCTCCTTTATGCCTGTGAGCAAGGCCTGGCCATTGAGAGTGGAGGACATGAAATGGCTAGGTGTCTTTGAGCAAAGGTGCCTGCGTCCTGTCCCCCGTGTTAGGTGGTCGGTGTTATAGGGTGAGCAATATTGAGGTTAGGCATCGGTCGAGTGCTAGGTAAGGAGGGGAAATCAATCAACGAGGCTGTGAAATTACATCGACTGAGGTGGTTAGGACATGTGTTACGTATGTCTAGTCATCGCTTTCCTCGACAGGGAATGTTAGCTGACATAAGGTCAGGAGGCTAGAAAAGAGCTGGAGGCGGTCAAACCAAAACATGGCACCAGTCAATGAAATACACGACAGTTAGTTTAAGCCAGTCACGTAAGAAGGTGTGGAGTGGCTTCCTGACTGGTTTGGGTCCTCGGGACGGTTAAAACCAATGGCTGGAAACAGTTGGTGATATGGTTCAAACTCATCGTTCTCAATGACTGGCGCAGAGGCATCCACTCCTCGTGATTTATGATTTCCAATGACACTATATTGTTCTTCGTTATCACTATTCCTTTGTCTTACACCTCTGTTTACTGTCTCTATTATGCATTTCTTCTACTTTCTTCTGTTGCTTTGTGTGCTGCATGAAGGGAGTGTAGCGACTTGAACTGGTGCACATATGTGCAAAATTCTATGTCGAAAACAGACAGACAGACAGTTGAGATTCAGAAAGTAAATAGCGTTTTTTATTTTGGTGTAGAGTACAAAGTTATCAGAGTTCTTCTGACCCATGTTTTGTTCATATGATATTTCTTTTAGGGTGCATCTTCTCCATTGGTTGTTAAATTTGCTGATAATGAAAAGGAACGTTTAGTTCGCCGGCATCATCATCAACAACAGAATAGCGTAAATGGATCCACCTCTACTCCAGCATCTGGAGGATATTTTGGAAATAATAATATGAATCACACTATGACTAATGGTCATTTGAATGTGTCGAATATATCACTGCAGCAGTATACTGCACAGCAGTCACTTCGTCCTTCTTGTGCTAGTTATACTGATGCATCGAATATGGCAGCGGTGGCAGCCGCTGTCGCCGCCTTCCAACAACAACAGCAACCACTCGGCGCTGCTCCTGGCTTTTCATTACAATTTCCTAGTGGCCAGCTTACAGTGAGTTTTGTGTATTGTTTTTACAGGAGGAGATAAGATTTTTTGATAACAAACTTTTTATTTATGAAAAACGAGAATTGTCCTGATTGGTTGTCATTTAACCCAAGGTTAAACAAGTTGTCCAATAAGATTGTTTCACGTCTATGACGTAAACTAAATAAATCCAGATTTCATGGAGGACTTCACCGTGAGCTGACGTAAGTTAGATAACCGCTGGAAAACCTGGGAGTACTGGACAGCTGTTTCGTCCTAGTTTGGGACTCTTCAGCACTACGCACTCACCGGTCCCAAACAAAATCCCTACAAAAGGAATACTCGAAAATCCAGATTTGAAGAATAAACACTTGCGTCATTACAGCCATCAACTTAAAAATGTGGATTTCAGTTCTTGTTCGTTTCATGCCTATGCGCATCCCATCTCCCCGTCAAATGGTTTCGAGCAAAGCCACTCTGATCGTTTTGGTGATACCCAATCTTGTCGACTCGCTTATTTGAGTGTGTTTCCATCTCTAGATTTGGATGGCGGTAACGCATTACTGTTTTTCTTCTCTTCTGGTGGATTAGATGGGATCACGTGTCTCGGGGAGTGTGTGGCCCAATCCAGGTCTCCTCAGTCTTTGCCTGACATCTCAGATGCGTCCTCAGCACTGCCGTCTTCCAAAGATCCTGCACGCCTATCAACTTAAGTCCTCAAGAAGCTCCGCACGTCTCCTTCAAAGTCAGCCGACCGTAGGATCTTCATTGTCCGAAGGCAGCGACACCAAATGTAGCGAACCTTTACTAAAGAAAAAGACATAATACTTTATATACGTTCTTAGCTACATTGAAATTCGTCCAGGTTAGGCGAATAAATTGTTCTGGTTAGTTGAAAATTTGCCGAAGTTGTATAATGAGAGGTATTTTAATTGCCTCGACGTAAACGAAATCCTGGCGTTGACATGAAAATTAATTGAATTCTAGATTTCCCCGTCTATTGAATCGGACCGAAGCGCTCGGTCTCAGGTGGAGATGTCGACGTCTTGTGCGGATGCTTCGACGACGTCTGCGCATGTGATTATTATTTAATTGATGGATGGTGACTAACAGTGGAATACAGCCAGGATGCACATTTCGTCCTATTTGGGACTCGCATCAGTTGGATGGACCTGCATTTCACGGTGAGTTTGAAACTATTTGCACTGGGTTCGAGCCTCGGTGGGAGCATCATCACTCGCTGTCTGGGAAATGCCTGTACGGCCAGATGACGAGTCCCAAATAGGACGAATTGCGCATCCTGGATACCTCTGCTTGTCACCATTCACCAATTGACATGAAATGTTCATTTCATTTTTGGTAACTTCCTATCAGTCTGCATCACGCCACATTGTTATAACAGATAAAAACGTTTCTATAGTATCTTCGTCCGCTTACCACTTTAATTATCTGATTGTGTATGTTTCTTCTCTCCTTATGTAGCCCGGTTTAATGCCCTCCTCCAATCCCAGTCCAGTTCCTAATGGTATACAGAATTCATCTATCCAGTCTAACCAACAACATCAGCAGCAACAAGCCCAACAGCAACAACAACAAAGTCAAATGGCACAACAAACAGCCTCTGCATATTTCAATCCAATGGCAGCGTTTATGGCTGCAGCAACTGCTATGCAATATGCTAATCCACAATTAACCAACATGAATTCCTTGACAGATAGTCAAGTGAATCGTCCCACAACTATCCCGTTACAATTGAATTCTATGGTTAGCAGTCATCCATCGATTGCTGTTGCTCAGCACAATAATCCATTGACAGGGACTAGTGGGGTGGTGGTCAGCCAATACCGAATGCTGCTGCATTAGCCTCATTGGCGTCTGGTTGTCCGGCTGCTGCTGCTGCCGCTGCCGCCGCCGCTGCTACGGCATTACAAAATACTACTCTACCTCAATGTATGTTAAACTGTCTGTCTGTTTGTTTTCTAACAAAACTATTATTCAAACACAACTTTGGTAGATAATGGGCACCAAGAGGTCGGTTGCAAAAAATCTCATCCTTTGTTGGAGGATTGGTATACTCTCCGGACGCCCATACCAATGGAGTTGTCATCCTAAGGGGACTCCGCTGAAGCGCTGACCCTAAGCCCAATCCACTAGGCTGCGGGTAGCACCTTCAGGAGCTTAGCCCATATGGTTCCCAATTATCAAAACAAGTTCTTATCCCAATAGTTTCTCTTGGATTGTGGAGTTCATTTAGAACATAAGTTTGAAATCGGGACATTTCAGTTCCGTGTGGGTAGACCGGTAGATATCCTCTACTACCGGATAGTCTACCCCACCTCTTGGGTGGCTAAAACCACGTTTGTGGATTTATTATAGGGTTTGGTTTAAGCAACCCTAACGGTTTTCGTTGTATTTGCGATATTGAGAACGTTTTGAGGCGTATCACGGATTTCCGTACAAGTATGGAACTTTCAGCATGGATATCGGTAGCCCAAATTTTGCAGGCCGACCATAGATATCAGGTGTGCTTCGTCGGCAGGGGATCGAACCTCGGACCATGCGGATGGTCGGCGAGAGTCCTAACTACTGTGCCATCAACGCACAGTTTTCTATTTGAACACGCGTTAACTCTCCTAACCTGATCGCAAATCAGTTAAGATCTCTTGACAAAAAAGGTGGCGGCTCAGTGTGCGTCACACTTGAATGTAGCTTGACAATCTCGTCGATATTGACTCTACGCTTGACATCGAAAACGCATACTGTATAATACCCCTAAACACGGGAGATAGAATTCAAGCAGTTTCCATCACGATGTGTCGCATAAATAAGCGTTCTAATCTATGTTGAAACAGGCATATATTACCCTCCCCCTCCTATGTGGTATGCAATTGTCCTCTAAGTGATTTTTGTCAACTCGTGAAATATTATAAAGTACCACAAATGTGGATCATGCTATTACGGAGATATAATGAAGCTTTCAAGGAACTCAGTGACAATCCATAGTATGCTTATTCATGTAAACCAGTTAGGTGGTTAACAATGTTATTATACACAGTAGGGCTACTCATATAAGAATATACTGACAGTCTACCTAGTCGAACGCCTCTACTCAAGATTTATACGCATTTTGTACTTATAAAATAAAGGTAATAATACGCTTCTTTTCTTTCTCCGACTAGGTTCATTGTTCCCGTTGACAGATATGGCTACACTAGCTGCTCTTACACAAGTAGGCAATGGCAATTTAATGTCTGATGCTATGACAACATCCGGTGTATCCATGGGTAATGAATTTCACAATGCACTTACCACTGGGCTACTCGTGTCTGCATCCCCCTCAACAGTATCACCAAGTTTTGCCAGTATTGGTAATACTGCCACCGGAGGTCAATCTGTCTCATCTGGTGCTGGTAATATTTTAGCTTCATCACCTGGTATGATGACTCCAGCCGCATCTACACCACCAACTGTCAGTCCAGGTTTACTGACACCACAAACATTGACCAGCGATCCAACAGGTTTGTATGCAGCTGCTGTTGCACTACAGAATTCAGCGACAGGTCAAACCAATACAAATGGATTACAGTTTCCACAACTACATCCATCATTCGCTGCTGCTGCCGCTGCCGCTGCCGCTCAATCTGCGGCTTTAGCACATGGTGGGAATAATGTGTTGAATTCTTATTTGACGGAGAATGCAGCGATACAACATGCTGCAGCGTTGGCGGCTGCTGCTGCGGCAGGTGAGTTCTGTCCATAGTTTTTTTATTTGTGTAAACAAAATACTCATATTTGCGCACAGATTGAATGCAGTTAAAGGATCATTGAAAGCCAGTTCTGTCATAGTCGTCACACTAAACACCTCTGACATTGAAGACACCCTCGAGTGGAATCCACATTGGAAATGACAAATGTTTTCTACCCTGGGATGACGTAGAGAGGATATCGTGTGAAGAGGAAATGAAAGCTTTTGGACATTCATCACATAGAAAGTGCGTCAGCTAGGGGAAATGGAAATGTTCTTCTGAAGCCCCCCGCCCCCGCGACCTTCTATGTTGCACTAAGAACACACTGGAATGGTAATTCATGTCTTAAAGTTTCTCAGTTAAGTCTAATGCAGGATACTGCAATATGCAGATGAAACTGGGAAACCAGATGATGAAGAGCAAACCATTCTGTGAACGCAGTACACAGGCATAACAGCATTCATTATGGTTGATCTTGAAGTTTCCTTGGTTGCTTTTGCAGCCATAGTTAGTTGAAGACTATTTATGTAGATCTTCTGTAGGAATCGGAAAGTATGTACAAATAGCATTGTTTTCTAGCTTTAGAGACAATGTGATTGAGATTGGAATTTTTTACAATTGAACGTGGTGGTCAGACTGTAGTGAATACTTTTTAGTCAATCGGTTCAACCCTATATACTGGCACTACAAACCGACGAGCGGGCTGTAGGCTTAAATCCTTCTTACCAACATCTGGCTCAGTGAATAATAAACTTCAATATTTTTTTCGTGGTTTTTTGTGTAGTCTTGAGAGGATCTCCTTAATTTTCATAGGTAACATTGTAATAACCGACACGTTGTACTGTAAATTCATAGTGTTCAACGGTTAGGTTGACAAATAGGGAGTGTGTCATTTGAGTCTTCATTATTCTAGTGCATTACGCAATGATGCGCGGGAGGTATCAAGAAATAACTTTGCGGGAATTTAAGTTACACACCATATGAGCGTATATACGGTTAATAAAACATCGAGTCCGAAATATCACTAATAAAAGCAGCAGTCAGCAAATGATGTTTTAAACTCTCTGGTGGCGTTATGTCTAGAATTTCAAGTCATGTATATATATATATATATTGTTGCGATGGTTACACAGACACTCTAAGTTCAACGATAAGACCTGATCATACTCCTTAATCATCCAAGCCCGATTCCAGGTCCGTCCCCTTTTGCCTATTGACTCAAAATTTGGTTATAAGATCTGTTGTGGTCACATATACACACCGATTTGGTATATCTACTCAAAGTGGATTGGTGTAGTTAATGATTTCCGGTTTGTTTTTGCTGTTTTACATGCACCAAAGATCATATTTAAGATGGTTAGTTGAGTCTTGCCTTCCTCAATTTTTTTATATTTTTGTTGTCTTCAGCATCAGGACAACCGTTTGTCAATGATCCTATGCATCAATTGTATGCTGGACTTCAAGCCTATGGTCTAGGTGAGTTGTTTACAGAATTTCTCCTTGATAAAAATAAAATTCGTTTTGCTGGTTTTTTTGTCACGGGAATAAGACAATTTCCGCTTAAGGTGAAATTACAACAAATATTATATGAGTGTTATCCTTTCGAAATTTTGATAAGGCGGTTAGTGATGGCTCATTAGGAAGACATGTGATGACGGGGACATAAATAGAAACATAAGTTGTCCCGGTGGATGCAGTCACTACTCCCACAGTGATTTCAGAATCTCAAATAGTTTTCAATGTCGACTAGTTTAGACATCATCATTTACTTTCCTTGCTTCACTCTCTCTCTCTTTCAAGTGATTGATTTTCTAAGGGAGTCAAGTGTATATGGTTTTCGCTATCCGTCCAATAAACTACTCGCAATAGAATGTTGTACAGAGCATTTAAACGACCTAATAGGTCTGAACAATATAGTTGAATCTCATAGAATGTGAGTATCATCTGCAAGACATCATCCTTGATTATTATTATTCGGGATGGGAAGGGCTAGTTTCATACAGTCATCGCATGCCTTTCCTTTTCTGCCTTTATTACAATGAAGTTACTGTGTATTTTTGAGTGTTGTGTTCTCTGTGAATATGTTTAATTGTGCGTAAGTGTTTGATATGTTGTTTTGTTTTTGATTTTGATGCCTCTAGTATTTCTGTGTCACCTCCTCATGCACGTGTCTGTCTGTCTATGTGTTTTCATTATTTCAGCTTATCCTGGTGCAGGAACCGCGTATACCTCATTCTCTAATTTGCATCATCAAGCCTTGTCTATGCCAGTTCAACAGAAAGAAGGTACCAGGGAACTCATATTGACAGGTAGATTACATTATTAACCATTATTATCATTATAGTTATTATTACTATTGCTTTATTATCCTTTTGGCTGTCTCATTCCGATCCTTTGTGGCTGGCTACATAAGCTGTCTGTAAGCTGTCATCTCCTCCTTGGGCTGAAACACAGCTCTTAGTTTCCTATTCAGGTTCCACTCAAAGCTTCGTGTGTGGTACGCGGTGTCACGCAGCGGTCTCCTCACACAGTGTGTCCAGTCTATCTCCATTTCTTCCGGCATACATACTTGATGGTAGAATCTTGGTTGGTCCGTTTGTCAGAATTCTGCTGATTATCTTTCCCGACCTACTGGCTTTCAGTATCAAGTCGGAGACGGCAGCTGTTAACAAAAGTCTTCAGCTGCCTGATTGTGATGTGCTTTAACTTGACACATCGAGTCTCTGAATCACATAGTAGAAGAAGTTACTGATGTGTGTGGTTGGTGTTTGTGAAGAGGTGAAATTTTGTTGTTCTTCTGAGTACAGAAAATTTCCCAACTGATTTCAGAGTGATTTTGGATTCTGGTTGGTTCGCTTTAATGTCGTCATCTCCTTGCTGTCGCGTGTAATTGGAGGAAGTGACCTCTTTCAAATTTTACTTTCCGCTGATGATGGTGATTGGCGCTTGCCTCCTCAATGTTCACTTGAAGTCCTGTCTGACTGTGTTTGATTGGATTAGATAAGTTATTCTGACACAGTTGTGTTGACTAGGGTAGAATTCTTCACTGTAGTTAGGAATTAGACAGTGACAAATACACAACATGTTACTGCTAAGCTTTTCCAATGCCCTAAATCATCTGTCGAAGTATTCATGTTACGGGTGTATGATGAGTCTTACTTTTCTTTAGATTTCTTTGGTGGTCCAGAGGGGATTGTAGATGGTTTCAAAGTGTTTTTGAGTTATGATGTTTCATTAGTGTTGACATGTGGTCTTATCGTTTATGGGATGGGAGGTTGCTGCTAACTTCACGCCTAACCCAACTACTATGGCGGGCGTATTAAATGGGGTCTACGAGTGCATCAGAAGAATAACCCATCTGGGAAGTCTCGAAAGTCCAACTACCCACTGGTGAAGCGATCCTGATGAGATTGCTTATAAACATTTCCCCTCTCTTTTCTTAATAAGATATTTACAATAACCAGAGGAAGTTCAGGAAGTCATTTATAACACTCTAAATTTAGCCATTCCAAATACAATAATAACATTGGCGTCCATCCACAGAATGATTAAGTCTGAGTAGACTGTGAACTGGCATACTTGATTCCTCATCTGTCTACTAGGACACTGTTTTCTTATGCGAACGATAGTTATGATGTCCTTGGAGCCAATACGACCACATTATTCTCTCTGTCCTTCATGTTGCATATAATATACAGTTTAATCGTACAGATTTTATTATTATTATTCCATTGGGTTTCGAGTGAAAAACACGGTTTCAGCAACACATCACCACCCTGTTCTATTTTCCACTGTCCTCTTCATGTGGTTAGCCACAAGATTGCCCATAATCTCTCGTCTCGTCCTCCATGTCACCCTCGCAGCGACGACCCACTCATCGCTTCTCATTTTGAGTCCACTTGAACAGTGGCCTGCATCGATAGGGATGTCATTCGATAGTCTCCCAGGCTTTGATGAGGAGTTTGTTCGCCTGAGAATTGATACCTGACTGATCACGAGCAGGGTGTCGTGGTCATAATCACTTCACCTAAAATGTCTCTGTGTGTGTGTATGATGTCCTTTCCCCCTTATCAATATTCCTTCTCTTTTGTTCTTGTTTTTACTATTTTAGGTCCTGAAGGGTGTAATTTGTTCATTTATCATTTACCACAAGAGTTTGGTGATCATGAATTAGCTCAAATGTTTATGCCATTCGGTACACTGATCAGTGCAAAGGTGTATGTTGATCGTGTCACACTTCAGAGTAAATGTTTTGGTAAGTTGCGCGGCTACTGTGACGGTAGAAGACAAGACAAGAGTTGGTCACGGAATGTTTTTACTTCGATTTTGGTATCTTTACATAGGGAAATTATGTACACATCGTCATTTGCACACATCTCCCGTGTTGTGCTACTTCAAGCCCCTTTCGTTTGTGTTTTTCACCACAACACTCTTTGACGTTAAATCTATCTCTATGCTATTTGATATTTTTTTTCGACCATCATCTGTGTATATACTACTGATAAATTCTGTCAGTAGCACACTCCACACTCTTCCCCCCCCGCATCAAATAGTCCCGAGCGAAACCAAACCAACCTTCTTGGTCCTACCCGTCCCAGTTATACTTTGATCCTGACTTCCTTTTTTCACTTTATCCATTCTGAAGTTGGTTTTCCACGTTTCTGTTAATTTCCTCTGTTGGTGGTATAGACGGGACCACGTCTCTCGGTGACAGTGTATCACCCTTCCCAGTTCGAAAGGAGTTACTGCGAACCTGACTCACATCTTACCTTGAACTTTCTTTCTTTTTTCACATTTAACTCGATTTTTGAAACCCTCCTAGAAGAGAAGACTGTGGACACTACGAAATGTGTCATCTAATGTAGTCTGTACTTGTCGTGTTGTCGAGTTATGATTGATAAGATGGGATATGCACTCCACATTAGGCAGTATCTCTTGCTGCTCTGTTGGACACAATGCATACCTTATTGGCTAGCTAAGTTTCACAAGTGTTGTGTACGATGTCCAATGTAAGCCAATTTTACATTCCTAGTGGAACATAGGGCTTCAACCTAGTGGCTTGAAGTTTCTGTAGCAGTGTTTATTTTACAGGATGGGATTGCTATCCTCATGCTTAACCTTTTCCTCTCTACCAGCTTTTTCTTATTTCTGGCTTAGGTAAAGGAGTGCGTTGGCGGCCGGGGGTCGAACCCCGAACCGTGTGCATGGACGGGTGAGCGTCCTAACCGCTGTGCCACCGACGCTAATACTATAATTGTAAAATGTTGGTCGCATTCTTGTTCCTTGTGTTGTTGTTTTTTTGTTATTACTTTGTCCAATTTTACTAAGGGGATTTCGTCTATAGACAACTACTGCTCAGATGGCATTATTGTTCTAAGTAGGTGTATTTTTAGTAAATGGTTGAGAATGTTCCAGAGCAAGTTATCATTAGACTGCGAATACGAAAATAAAATCTCATAAACACAGAATTACGACGAATATTGGTACTCAGTAGATTCAGCGTTGTTTGGTAAGTTCTTCAAAGTTTTAAATACATGATCCGATCAAACCTCTTAAAAAGGCGTAAGATGAATGCATCCAGGTGAGCATAGTTGAGAAGGAGGCAGTAGCGATCCAAAAGTTCAAGTAGCACAATCTATGTATGTATTCCAAAGAAATAAGTTCAACTGTTGTCTCTAGCATAGCCGCCATCATAAACAATCACTTCTGTCAATAATGATTATCCTAATACCTCTTTTTATCTAATCTGGTATTTTCAGCCTAAAAGCCAACAAAAAGCAGAGGGGGAGAGATTCCCCATCAGTTGAAATCAATTCCTCTTATTGATTATTTTACACTTTCCTTACAGGTTTTGTCAGTTTCGATAATCATACAAGTGCTCAGAATGCAATTCAAGCAATGAATGGTTTTCAAATTGGTATGAAACGATTGAAAGTTCAACTGAAACGACCAAAAGGTGAGTGAGTGATTTAACGATAGATAGATAGATAGAAAGGAAAAAAAGTGACCTTTTGAATATATAAAGATATGCAAGAATCCTGCTGTGTGTGTTCGCCTTCCACTGTAGGATTTCTATTCACAGTACCGTCGAATTCCTTGGAATCAGATGTTCATCAGACGTCAAGCATTTTTTTGGATATTTTTATGTTTATTAGTCGAGTAGTTTGTGCTAATATTCGCCCTCACTATTATTGGGTCGTTTATTTGCAATCCCTTCTTCGTCTGTATATACATATCATACTCTCACTAATATGTCACATATATTTGTATATACGTATGTAAATGACTGTAGGCAGTAACCCATCATCGAATTCATCGTCGAACAGAAAATCTCGTGATACACGTGAGTCAGGACAAATACAAGGTGCAAACTTGACTACTACTACTACTATTCCACCGTCAGGCGACATCAACACGACAACAACGACGACAACACCAGCTTCAGCACCAACTACTACTCCTCCGACTTTATATTCTGAGGTAAATAAGTATTCGATGAATAATGTCAACACACGCACACACACATTCAGCTAGTCAATTTATTCGTGTTTCTCTGATCTGATCAATTCATCTTACACATCGATTACAAGCTTGACTGTGTGTTTATTTGTTCATAATCTTGTGTGTGTGTGTGTGCGTGTGACTTTGTCAAGGCGCATCGTGTTATTCGTGTCTACTTTGTCGGTGTGTTGTTTATCACTATACTTTTAATGTCTGTCTCTAACTATTATTGAGATGTTCATTTATCTGTCTATAGTGTTCACAGTTGTTGTTGTTGCGTAACACCATTTGTGTGATTACATCACTTGTTTACGTCTTTGTTCGTCTCGTTCTCTCTCTCTCTCTGTGTGTGTGTGTGTATAGATGTTATATGTGAGTTCTTCACTTAAATGTGTTTGACAATCAGTGTAATTACCCCATTGTCGCTTTTGTCTCATATTCGTTCCGCATGCATGTTTAACAAAAGGTGGGGTTTGTTCCATATTATTGTCCAGTGAAGTGAAGGAGAAGTGTGTGTGGGAGGGCGGGGGTGGTGCAGATAGTTCGATAACATAAAATGACCGAATGAAATCACCATATTTTTCTTATCTCAGCTGGTGGTTGTACTTTAACATTGTTGGGAATGAGAAAAATTATCACCATAAGTGAATTTAGCTAGAGGTATATATAATTTGGATTCTGTCAGATAACGTGATTCTAAGCGATGTGATCATGGTTATATTATTATTGTTCCTCTGAGGTGTCAACATCTCCACATATCCACTTTGTCCTATTCTCTCCACCATCCTCTTTACCTGGCTCCCCGATTGCTCTTTGTCTGTGATCTCCTCCTCCTCCTCCTGCTCACACGATTTACTTACTGCCTGCGTGGCACCCTTGATGAATACCCGCCTAACTCGTTGTTTCCCAGTCGGGTTCCACATGATCGATGTCATTCGACAGTCTTCTGAGCTTTTTTTCCCAATCAATCTCCATTTCCTCCGGCATCTTTATCGATAGGAGATAGGTTCTTGATTTTCACTATGGAGAGGGCAAAGTTAAACTTTCGACACCACTAACAACCAATCAGCAAACGACCTCGAAAGGACCAATCGCATTAAAGAGGCATATACGATGAATGGAAATGTATATTTATAGAAAAAAAAGCATAAAATAGATAATTAAAAAGGTTACATGGGATATCTTTCTCAAACATGTGAGAGAAAAATCTCCCAGTTAAGCATCAGACTGTCAATGGAGAAGTAACACCATATCCTGTACATATATTCATCCAAATGACTATAAATGAGATCCTTTTGAGATACATTTATAGCCCGTATCCTATTTTCCAACCTGCCCCAAAATCCTTCATTAGAATTTGTATGTGTCCTCGTAACGGGATCCACAAAATCACTTGAATGGTTGTCTCTATGATGAATATATCCCAGAGATGACAGCGAACTGTAGCCTTTCCGTGTGTATAATTGACCCCCGCTTAACAATTCTGGTAACAATAGGTATAAGAGTAGTTGCTTTTCTATCTGCTATCCTTAGGAAGCGAAGCGACCTAGCGAAAAAAGTTCCTACGAAATATTAAAATTATCAGCTTACTCTCTCTAGCGTTAGTAGGCTTCAAACATATAGCACAACGATGAACAAACCCATCAGTTGATTTGGTATAGCTTTTTAAAGTCATGATACCACCACACAATCAAATTCGTTCTTTCCGGAGCAACTCAAATCTAGGAAATACTGGAAAACGGTAACCTCCTTGAATTGCAACAATAGCTTTGTAAGGTCACGCATTAGAAATGAATCAAGCGCTATACAACATTGAACTGCGTTCGTGAATCTCATTGGATAATTCGCTGATTGGTAGTTAGTGGTGTCGAAAGTTTAACTTTGCCTTGGAGAGATTGTATTGTCTGCAGCTATATTTTATAAAAGTCTTCAGTCTGTTCGAAATGCTTTTCGTGACACGCAAGCCTGACGCATTTCGAAGAACTGACTTAGTGAACATTGGTATTGAAAATCCAAATTTTGTTATCAATACTGAATGAAGCAGACACTTCCAGAGTGATGATGATTGTCTGTCTTGCATACTTCACCATAAGAGGGGGGAGGGGATTGGAAAAACAAAACAGGAATTATCTGTCGTACAACAGCGTCAGTAGTAAGTAGTAACCAAAATACGATTGTCCATTGAAATGAGAAAGGGAACTAAGAGATTTCAAAAGTTTATCAACTGGTGAGAATAAAAAATCTGGGCGCCAAGAAAGCAGAGGAGTCTATCAGTGTTAATGTATATATATTATTTATCCCAATTTTAAAGGATAAGAGGATTTAGCATTTAAGAAAATAGATCTTAGTTGAGAGATTTAGAAAAACTAGGCAACTGGTGAAAATTCCAGGGAGGGATGTAACTTCAGTTGGGGTGGTCACTGATCGAGTAGGTTGTGTTATTCCACACTGTAGTTCTTTCCGTTAGACCATGACACAATTGGCTTGGAATTTGAACCCTCGCCGATGCGCTGTGTCACTAACAGAGCTAACTGGTAAAGTAAGGTTAGAGAGGTTGGGTGGTGGACTAGCAGGTCTATCCTGTAAAATTTTTAAAAAAAGTCAATCCTACTGAACATTCGAAGCTCTAGCTTGAATGAAGCCCTATTTACCACAAGGAACACAAAGGAATAAGGAAAATTTAGTAAAGGTACTGAAAATATATGAACTGTGTGTCATCTGGGTTTTTGGAGTAGATTGATGACCCTTCAGTTGACAATTTCGATAGGTTTACATCCATTCCATCTACTCTCTCAGGTACTGAACAGTCAGCAGCCTTTCCAGCCTGGTACATTGTACGAACATTCCACGTCGTCCTCATTTTTATTTGTTTCTCTAACCTAAAGAAGACACATTGGCTGACCAACTGACTGACTGGCTTTCCGAAAGCTTCCGCCAGCCAGCTCTGTGTCTTCTCACCTCTCCGATTCCAGCAAAAAATAAGTTTGTTTTAAAAAAAATTATTTTTTCCTTGCACGTTGAATATTCTGTGGCCGTATTGATTGATTTTTTTTCGGGTTAGGGACGCTAGTCCTGAGCTGGGAACTCAGTCTGTGTGTGTGTGTGTGTGTGTGTGAGTATCAGATTTGAAAAATTGTAAACCAGAATTCCGGTGTTGTTGTTTATTACTGTTTGGGCTCTCTGAGCACTGAGTCGTTTAGTCTGGTTGGAATACACCGCGTCATGCACACTCAGCTCAAAATGAGTGAAAGAGTTTTTCTGGCGTTTTGATCACTTATTTATACGATAATAGGAGTAGTGGTACTACTACTACTACTACTACTACTACTACTACTACAGAGCAGATGCTTTGAATTCTATATTATTCTGAGGGATAGTTCCCTAATTGTTCCCTAGTAACATTTCTTTTACTTGTCTGATTTGACTACTTAAATATTCTGCCTCACTAGTAGTTATACTTTTAACCAAATTATATAGACACATATATTTTCATTTGACACTAGTAACTAGTGTGATGTGTGTCTAGTCCTTGGCGTTGGTACAGACGGAATTCTATCAGTCAGGTTGTAATTTGGCCACCATTCTAGGTAGCACAATATTAGAAAGTTGGAGGCAATCGGCTACCAGGAAGCCTTGGACCTAGGTTTCGTGCTAGTTGGCACTCATCAGTTAGTAAGGCGTACCTGCAAACTCGAAAGATCTCATGCCCTTGTTTCTGTGATTTGAACTGACGTCACCCAGTGCTGCAGTCAGAGATGTTATCACTGAGCTATTCGGGTTGGCGATTAACCTCCTGTAGGACTGCAGTGGATATTTTGATTGGACACTAGTCAGTAAGTAGTGTGACGTGTTTAGTTCTTTCTTTCAGGGTCACAGATACGCTTTGCTGATTGTGACGAGTGTCAACTAGCACGAAGCATAGGTTGGCCAAGGTTTCCTTCCGATTAACTTCAGCCATCTAACCTAGGCATTTAACTAAATCTATCCTGACCGATTGTGAATCGGATGAATTTTTTTCTCTTCACGTTCCCCAGTGGAACATACGGCTCAAAGTTTATTGGCTTGAAGTTTCTGTAGCAGTGTTTATTTTACAGGATGGAGTTGCTAGCCTCATGCCCAACCTTTCCTCTTTACCAGCATTATTTCTGGCTTAGCTAGGTAAAGGAGTGAGTCTGTTGGCCGGGGATCGAATTCCAGACCATGTGCATGGTTGGCGATCGTCCTAACCGCAATGCCACCGACGCACTATTACAATAATAGTAATACTACTTCCCGAGAATAATACAAAGCCGTATTCAATGAAGTAACTCTCATCCCCTGACTTTTTGATGTTAGATGTTTAGAGGCAATCGGCCACAGGAAGCCTCGATTGACTGACCCAGGTTTCATGCTAATTGGCACTCACCAGTCAATCAGTCAGTCAGCAAGGTGTATCTGCAACCTTGAAGGAAATCATGTCTCTCCCCCCATCTGAGATTCGACCCCATGTCACCCAGTTGCTGCAGACGTGCTATCAACTAGCCCGCAACTTAAGTCCAAGGCTTCCCTGTGACCGAATGCCTCCAACCCCATGATGGTGAGCCACCTAGTGTCATAGTGGACACATTGAAAAACGTGACTTGATGAGAGAATTTAGTCTGCGCCAAACAGCCAGTTTTGAACACATTACACCAGTTACGAACTAGCGTCCAATCAAAAAAAGTCGTGACCAGTAGGGTGCAGCGGGTCGGGTGTCAGGACAAATACTCTCCGAAGACATTGGCTAGCGGTGGCGCTATGTCGTGAATTGGCAGAAGTTAGAATTCAAGGACCATTTGATCGGGCCCAGGTGGCTTAATGGCATACGAGCTCGCCTTGTACTCGGAAGGTCCCGATTTCGAATCCTATTGGCGGTGGGTGGGTACTGCTGAAGAGTCCCAAAGTAGGACGAAACGGCTGTCCAGTACTCCCAGGTTTTCCAATGGTTCTCTAACCAATGTCAGCTCATGATGAAGTCGTGAAACCAATGAAATCCCTACAAACTAACACTTGAAAAATAATAATTTTTATGCTAATGAATAAGTTTGGCTGACAATAAGCCTTATGTCTGTGAGACAGCAGCCTCTCTCATCACTGACTCACTAACCAAGGTTGACAAGATTAGATTATGGAAGCAGGTACACACCTGTCTTTAGAAATTTTATGCCATTATTAGTCATTGTCATTGCTTTTCTTCGTGTGATTTTTAATACCTGCCTAATCCGAATAATCATACATCACACGTTGTCACACACACACACACACATATCTCAACAGGTTCATTTTAAGAAAAAGAAGAAGGTGAAGAAATAGAAGTTTTCTTTCAACACGTCTGTGTGTGTGTGTATGAGGGTGTGCGTTGGTGTATGCTACAAGACAATGACTCAGAAGAAATTCTCTCTTCCAGTAGATTCCTGTTAAGTCGACTGTCTTGTTGTTCCACCGTAAAAAAAGCAACGAGTATTGACTTGTTGTTTTGTTTGTTTTCTGTTCTTGTTTACTGTGTGAGATAGAAGCGCACTATCTACTCCTACTCTATCTATGCGCCTGTTTGTCCATGCAAAATCTAAAGCAAAAACGGAGTGTGTGATAGAAAGATAATAGACAGAGAAAACACTATGAACAATACTACACTACTCCACTCGATGTCAGTATGTCGGTGTGTGTGTGTATGTATGTATGTTGCATGCATTATTTGTCCAGTTTTCTTCTTCGTGTATTTCCTGTTGGCATGTGTTCTCTCTTCTTCACATACCTCCTACTCTTTCTGTGTGTGTGTGTGTGTGTGTGTGCGTGTTAATTGTGTTGTGGTGTTGATGATGGCAAGGAGGATGATAGCTGTACGGCACACACACGCGTGTATCTCTGTGTTTTACGTGGAAATAATGTTGATAATAATGATGATGGACGATATATATAGCCAAGCCAGCAACCAGTAGATTTGCTTCACTCATATGCAACCAAATCTATATCTGTTCAACTGTGTGTACAATACAATGTGATCAGGTGTGTGTGTGTGTGTGCGTACGTCTGTGTAAGCCTTTTATCTAACAATAATCCATCCGTGCTACTGCCGGTGCTGTTGTCACTCTGCTAACGTTTCTGTCTTCACATCTCTATTTTCCTTTATTGCCTTTCAGTTAGTCGCAAACCCTACGGAAACAGTCACCATTCAACAACAGCAGCAGCAACAACAACAGCCAGCAGCAGTGCCAGCGGTATGAAGAAAGGCGGCAAGTAGAAGAAGAAGAAGAAGGCGGCTGATATTCGTGGTGGCGCGCTAAACCTCACAACAATTCTACCCTTCTACCCCCGCCCCCCTTTATATATTCCAATAACAATTTCTAGCTATTATTACTACTGTTGTAATCTTTATCTTTACTTTTATTGTTACCATAGTTACTGTTGCGGCTATACTACTACGATTACTATTTCTACCATGAATGAAAATAACTGTTCCATTCGTCGTCATTTTTCATTTTGAAATTTTTCCAATTCCAGCCTCTTTCCTCTTCTGTTTACATATTCGTCCTCTTTTCCCTTCGAACGTGCCGCCGCCTCGCCGCCTTTTTTCTTCATCGCCTCAACACACACCAGAGAGTGAGAGAGAATCTTCTGTGTGTCTTTTTTTTCCATTCAAACATAAACAAACAAACGAACGAACCGCTGCGACACTCTTGTTCAATGATCAATTGAAATTAGATTTTTATATTATTATTATTCTTAGTAATTCTATTCAAAAAGAATATCCATCCATCCATCCATGCATTCTTCATTCATTCGTCCATCTATCTATCTCTTCATGTCTGCATACATACATACATACATGCACACACACACACATAACCCCCCTATTAATGCTTTTGGTATCTCCTCTATTTTTGTTTAACTTTTGGGATGTGTGTGGGTGGCAAAAGAAAAACACTTTCCACACCCACCCACACACACACACACACAAATAAACACAACAACAAAAGAGAAATGATAAGAGAGGGTATTTATATACCTATTATGAGTATTCTTTATACGAGAAATATTATTCAAAAAAAGGTTTTATTTTTATTTAATTTGTGACATACATTACCATACTACAAAAAGACGAGGGAGAGTGTTGTTATTAGTCATAGTGAGAAGCTCTCATCGAATCACCGTTACATTCTCTATTTTGTCACTATGGTTGTCATCTTATATGACTACACTTCTTTTCTCTTTCTCACCTTCTCCCACTTGTGTAACTCATCTCCTCTTCTCACTGCTTTTTTTTCTCACTCTGTCTGCCCTCGACTTTTTCCATCTCTTGATGATATGTAGAGCACTTTTTTTCCAGTTCTCTCTAACCATGATAATTTGAGTAAATGTGCATTTCTGAAGTTGACGTGAAAGGAGTCGTCGGTGTTGCTCTTCTTCTCCTTCTTCTGGTTCTCTTTCTGATGAATATTTTGTGAAATTTTTTCTATGACTACTTATTTACTCCTCTTATATATTAATGAGTAGTATGTTCAGTAGGATGATTTTTGGGAAGAAATATTCTTTTTTTGTTTTTGTTACTATGTGAACTGATGAAAATTTTTGTATCAGTCTGTCTTGCTTTCTTTCTTAATGAACTAATTCTTTCTTCTCTTCATTAGACGTGTTATTTTCTTGCGTTATATATTATGAGATGTCGGTATGATGCAGTGCAGCTATGACGACGACGATCATGATGAGGCGAAGGAGGAGGAGGAGAGGTGTGCTGTGTTTGCTGTTGTCGTCGATAGAGCTCTCTCTCTCTCTCTGTGTCTGACTCTGTATGATGTGTGCGTATATCATGCCACAGTGGAGTAAATAAACCTCTCTCCCACCACCCACTCCCTCTCAGTCCCTCTCCTTCTCTCTCTCTCTACATATACATTTTTCCCATTTAAGAATGCAAACACCGCCTCAAAAAAAAGAGAAGAGAGCGGATTTTTTTTATTATTCCTAATGATGCAGTGAAGATGCAGCATGTGTATGGACACAAATCATCAGCATTCCTTCCTATGAGAAACTTTCGATTTTGTTTTTGGTTAGATATAAATAAAATTATTATATAAGGAAGTTTGTTTTTTTAAAAAATACCGAGTCGTTTTTTTGTGTTTCTGAGTTTCCTGGAGTCAGTTCTAGTGAGAAGTCCAGTGCCCAGTGAGGTCCAATTAGATGTCACGTGTGTGTGTGGATGGATGTTCCACCAACGACCAATGGTTGGTGGGGGTCGCGCTAAATCACGAATTGGTAGGTGTTAGAATTCATGGATTGGCCAGTGAATCGGGTTTGGTGGCAGTGGCTGAATGGTATACTAGCTCGCCAGCTTGCCTTATAACCGGAAGGTCCTGGGTTCGAACCCCCTGTGGTGGGTGCGTACTTCCGATGATTTCCAAACTAGTGGGATGAAACAGCAGCTGTCCAGTACTCTCTGTGACTGGTTTTCAATGGTTCTTTAACTAATATCCATCCGTGATCAAGTCGTAAAAATAAACTAACCCTTACAAACCAAACTATAGAAAATGTTTTTTATGTTCCATCGTCTGATGATGATCCTCACTGAAGTTCGTGTGGATTTTGTTTTTGAGATGGAATTATCGGGTGTGTTGCGCGCGCTAACGTTAAGAGATGTCATTCATGATATCTAGTGTGATGATAAGCATACATACGTAGTCATCATTGAGAAGTATAATCAGTCACTAATTCAACGACTCAAGGGTGAGTTGTTACCACGTAGAAGTTGTAGATGATACAGTTCCTTCTTCTGAACACCTTAAAGAGAGAGCAGCAGCAATCTTCGAATGTTTGGCATATGTTTCTCGTCTGTGATATGTAAGATGATGATGATGATGCTACAGGACTGGACTGTTGCATTGACTCACTCCTAGCTTAAAGATAGATAGGCAGTGAAGTCGCTGATGGAGCGAAGCGTATTGACCACTTCACTTATTTTATGGGAAGTTGCGTCAACCACAATCGGTTGATCGTTGATAGAAGGTTGGTTTGCCGCTATCTCTGGCTGAGTAGATGTGAGATCTGGCTGGCTAATCAGTCAAAGGACGTGTCAACTGTACAGTAGCAGCAGTTCTCTCCGTCGTTGTTTATGACTGGGAGTGAGACATGGCCATTGAGAGCGGTAGATATGAAAAGGCTGACTAGCTGTCTTTCTGCTCTGTATCTCGCGTGTTAGGTGGTTAATTTAATAGGGTGAGTAATATTGAGGTTAGGCATCGATCAAGTGTTAGCTAGGGAGAGGGGAAGTCAATCGACGAGGTTGTAAAGCAGTTACATCGATTCAGATGGCTAGAACACGTGTTGCGTATGCTGAACAAAGTTAGTTAGGTGACATAGGATGAGGTTGGTAAAGAGCTAGCGATGGGTGATCAAAGCAAAGGTAGACATAAATCCGTGAAATCTTTGACAATCAGTTTGAGTCATTCACGTATGGAGGTGTAGACATCTTGAGATGGTAAAGGCCCGAGAGGTTTGGTGATATGGCTATGGGTGATTTACAAAGAGAAGACCAGTCGTTCAGCAACGAGCTTTTTTGTGGGGAATTCATTTTCACAGTTGTACAATCGCAAATATAAATGGGTTATTTTGTATGTGTGTGTACATTAACTTTGTCAAACGGAAATACAATTTTCAAGTATTGGTTTTGTAGGGATTTTTTTGATTGCATTCAGAATTTCACCATGAGCTGACATCAGCTAAAGAACCATGGGAAAACCTGGAAGTACTGGACAGATGTTTCGTCCTAGTTTGGGACTCTTCAACAGTACGCACCCACCGGGGTTCGAAGTCAGGACCTTGTTACAAGGCGAGCTCGTAGAATATTGAGCTACTAGGACCCGATTCAATGGTTCTTGAATTCTAATCTCTGGATCGGGTCCCAGTGGCTCAATGGTCTACGAGCTCGCCTTGTAATCAGAAGGTCCTGGGTTCGAACCCCGGTGGGTGCACAAAATACGATTCTCAAAAAAAGTGGATACTGAACAAAGAATACTCTTTTCGACAACCTGCTCATCATTATCAGGCTCTACAGTTATATATACATTACAGTGGGTGAATCAATGAGTGTTATGAACAACATTATTGTTGTTTAAATAACATCGGATCAATAATAATACCAGTGGATTACATCTCGATAGCATCAACATAACAATAAGCTGAATATCAGAAAAATTAGGAAAGATAATAATACACAAATTCATTTATTTATAGTCTCTACTGAAGAAGAGCGGGGCAGTAGTAGTGGTTGGTTAGACTTGTACACAGACCACCAGTTGTTTGAGGCGATTTGCAATAGCCTCTGCTGTTTGAAGTATGCGGTGCTTCAGTGGTTTTGGCAATTTATTTGGCACCCAGTAGATGATAGGGAAGGGGATTCTTCAACTTTGGCTTTGTGGTGGAGTTACGTGATGCAAAAGGCGTTCAGAGGAATTGGATGTTAGTAACAAAAGTGATGAGTTGTCACAAACCATCGTCAAAGAACAGTTACGTAATAGCATGAATAGGTTTATGAAAGAGTTGTGCTCAGGATGTACATGGAAACTCCAAGGTAGTATTCCATTTCTGGATGTTCTTCTTTCAAAAAGAACAGACGCTACCTTCAAAAGTAACATCAATAGGAAAGCGAAGTGGAACGAACAATACACCCACTTCCATAGCATCATACCTATACAATATAAGCGCAACCTGATTCGTTGTCTTAATCATGAATTAGGCGCATATGTACCGAGGATTGTATTATGTATTCGTCGCCAAATTATTGTTATGTACTGGTCGAGAATTTAATAGTCCTGATGCAAGAAAGACGGAAATCAGAAGACCACTAGGTTTGTGATGATACTTCTATTTTCCAAACACAAGGAGAATCAATATATATATATATGAATGTCCGAACAAGTGTGTGAACAAATCAATAGACAGTCTTAAAATGATTGGCTAATTATAATGGAGTATCGATCCATATATACATAGCAAAATATAGCAGACATGTCAACAAACACATATTATATGGATATATATATCACCAAGAACAGACTGTCAACAAACACACATATTATATATAATATACGGGGAATATACATTGTTAAAGGAGACAGGTTCATCAAAGTGAAATGGTCACAGACTACGAGAGCAACAGAAAGAGAGACCACCATATATATATATATATATATGGATACATATCACCTCCCCTTTTGAGAAGATTGATGATTAG